AGCTTGGCCTTTCCCGGCGCCGGCGCGGCGGCCGACAGAGAGCGGGGGACACGGGTTGCGGCCATGCGGGCGGCAGGCGGGGCGCCCGGCGTTGGCCTCGGGTCCGAGCCTCCTGCGCTGGGCGTTCAGTCCGCGGCGGCAGCAGCGGCCGGTTATGGTCCCGGGGGCGGGGCTGTCGCGTCAGCTCCCGGGCTCCGCCCCACGTGGTCTGAGCTGGGCCCCGCCCCCGGCCCGCCCCATGCCGGCTGGGAAACTGAGGCCGGGATGGAGCGCAGGAGGCAAGCGTCGGGGCGGGGACCGTAGTGCAGCCAATGGCTGATGCGAGGCCCCCGGGAAACCGACAGCAGCGGGGATGAGGGCGGAGTCTTCGCGAGCTGTAGGTCAAGGTGCAGTTTGTATAACTCGCCTGGGCCTGGAGCGGAACTAGGCGCAGGAAGAATAGGCCTCACAGTGTGGGTCTGCCACGAAGGCGAGGCGAGAGGAGCAGAGTCCCCTCGACCAAGACACGTGGGGCTAGCCCATCCCTGCTGTCTGAGGGCTTGGCCTTCGGACAACCCCCGGGGCTGTGCGGTTACCACCCTGCTCCTCTCCTGGATTTAGAGCTCCGTGCAGCGAACATGGGAGAGAGAAGACCCCAATACAACCCAACTGTATTCTAGGCAGCTTCTCCGTGCAGACTCAGGTCTCCCACCCCCAAAGAGGTCACAGCAAGGCTTGCAGAGCCTATTAAATTGGCCCCTGTCCCTCCTACCCATACCAAGCACCAAGCAGAGAAACTTTGCCTTGATAAACCGACTTTAATATTCATGACCGGTAGGATGCTCAGAGCCATGTTATGAGGTCTGGTAGCTCCATACAAGATGCATTCCTGGTGTGTCTGCAAACTGGCCTGGAGAGGGCAGCTGTAGCCAGTGCAGTGTGAGGTGAAGAGAGGGTACCCCTCCCCCCAAGCGCCAGGGAATCCTTGCACACAAGAATCTCCCTAGGAATGCCAGGCTCCAGCCAGAGGGCTAGATGCAGAGGTCCACCTCCAGGCTGGCTGGGGGCTGGAGCTGGTCTTCTAGGGCAGTCAGTTTCTATCCTGCCTTCCCCAGGCTCCAGGATGGCTCAGAGGCTGCTATCATTGGGCTTCAGCAGAAATAAATAACGGCCAGGTATCCCTGCCTCCTGTCAGGGTCCTCTGTGCTGCTGGAGTGCCACGCTCCTTGGAGGTTAATAACTCAGTAGAGTGGGTGTTAAGACTGAGCACCCACTACACACTGAAGCTGTACACGGGAGGTGGGGTGAAGGCAGGAGCAGTGATGTATGCATAGGGGAAGCTGGCAGGGGCTGTGCTGGCAGGGGCTGTGCCGGCAGCAGGGCCTGAAGTCAGCATCAGCTGCTGGCCTGTGGAAGAAGCATAGAGTGAGCAGCATGCCCACTGCCCATGGGTGTCCTCTCCTGGCTGCCCTTGAGTAGCCAGCGGCCCAAGGAGTAGGGTCTATAGGACAACCCTTGACTACCCGAAGGCTGAGGCACTGGGGGAACAGATATCTGGAGGCAAGGAGAGTGGTGTTGCTGTTGTAGGGTTAGCCAGAAAGGGTGGCCAGGCTAGAGGGTAAGAGAGTCCCCAAACAGGACACACTTACTTAGTTCAATTGGCTGGGTCTCATTCATGCCCATCAAAATCTAAAAAAACCAGAGTGACATTAATGGTGGGTGGGCACAACAACCCTGGGGAGGACACACTCAGCGGGAGACTTGAGACCAGTTGGTGTGCTGTATGCTCACACCACACCCTCAGGCCTGTGTTAGCCCCACAGTGCACTCCAGGACCCAACAGTCTCTCTAGTCTGCTCGACAGCGAGGTCATCCCAGGAGGGCTCTCAAGTGCAAAGCCCCTCCCAGCACAAGCCAGCAACAGCCTTGCTGCCCAGGGGCCAGGCAAGAAAGGACACAGCAGCAGCTCACAGCTGGGCAGATGCCTCATCAGAAGGCAGGTGCCCTCAGAGCAGGGAGGACAGTGGCCATGCCAACATTCTTGGATACACTAACCTCCACACCTAGCAGCCACTGGGGTCCTTTTGGCCCCCACTCCTCCATTCCCATCCCCATCTCAAGTCCAGCCAGGGAAAAGTGGTGTGGATCACCTCCCTCCAATCCCCAGGGGACTGGGGGCTACAGGTGTCACCTACCAAACAGGAGAGGGGCAGGCTCTGCCACATGCTCCTCCTGCTTGCGCAGACTCTCTGAGGCATCCAGTTTGTCCACCTGCAAAAGAGGTGAGAGCACATGAGCCCCCACCTGACAGCACAGTCTGGGCCTCTAGGTGAACACGAGCATGGGGAGCCTGAGGCCGGGACATATGGGTCTCTGGGTGTGGCTTGATGATGTGCCCACGGGGCAGAAACAAGTGGCCATGCCACACCCTGATGCACGTTTCACATGCGGTGAGGCCAGGATGAGATGAAGCCTCTGTTCCTGGGCTCAGCAGGAGCCCTGGTGAACCCCCAGCTGCTGCTCCAGTGCAGCAGCTTCCCAGTGGGCATTTGGCTTTGGCCCCCAGGTGCACTGTAGCAGTGGCCAGTGGCTGCAGGAGGCAAGTGCAGCCTGACTCAAGTGGGCACCATCCTCCTCTGGACACTGCTGGTTACCAACCTGCAAGAGACACTGCCTGCTTCTAACTCCAGCCAGCCAGTCCAGCTGCCCATCCCTACCCAGGAGAAAGAACACATGGTCCTCAGGAGACAGGCACCTGACACCTGGGACACTCCACCTGAGAGACCTTTGAGGATGAGCTGCCTCTTGGCTCTTTCTCAAGGCTTCACCAGGCGCTGCTCCCTGCATGTTGCTGCCCCTGTGCAGTGTTCCCAAGCTGGGCAGGGGACAGAGGGAGGTGGGGGCTGTCAGAGACAGGTAGCACTGTGCTGGTGGGGCAACAGCAACTATGCATCTAGGATGACCTTGAGTAAGAAAAAGGCAGCAATGATGTGCCCCCGTGCCTGCCCCAGCCCAGGGCTGAGAGGGGAGGAGGAACACGGCTAGCATGGTGGACGCTCAGGGCTCAGGTCTGAGCTAGCCTACCCTCCCTCCTCCGCAAGAGCACGGGGGAGGGGGGGAGGCTCAGAATGACAGCCCTCATGCTTCCCCGATGAGCCAGGGGACCCCGGAGCCAGTTGTCCAATCAGGAAGAAGCTATGCTTTCTTGTCTAGCTCCCTCATCCTCACAGCACTGCTGGGCCCCAGCTCAAGCCGAGAACAAGCCCACACCCCACCACTGACCAGAAAACCCCTTGCTGGACTCTCCTCTCCCTAGCCCTCTCCCCGCCAACAGGTGCCTTGTCTGGCCCTGGCAGAAACAGGTGGGCAGTAGCAGGGACAGGCACTGTGGCAGTCACTACCTCCCAGGGCTAGGAGAGGTGTCTGGGAAACCCAGGCCAAGGAACAGTGTCCTCTAATGAAAACCCTGGGTTAGTTGTGCACCCACAGTGCTGACCAAGGTGACAATGGATGCCAGAGCGAACTCTATCATTCACAACAGAGAGGGAATGTGCTCCTGAAAGTCCTTGGGGATCCAAACTCTGCAACAGTGATATTCTCTGAGGCCTGGGTGGGCCTGAGTTCCTCTTATGTTAACCCACAGGCCTCTACTGCCAGGAGGAGATTCCAGCCACATTCATCCTTCATGCAGGTTCTCAGGAAAGATGAACTGCTTTCAGGTTGAGACATTTTACCGTTAGTGATGGGACAAGCAGCTCATTCTGGGTCAGAGCAGTGTCCAAGGGCAAACTCCACATAGCACAGACACCTCCTGGAGGGAAATGCTGTCTACTGCAGTTGAGGAACCAGGGACTCTTGTAAATCCAACCAATCAGTGTCCCCTGGCAGCCTGCACAGCTCAGGCCATGTGGCCAGGGCTGCCCCTTCCCCTGCCCCTTGAGAGAACTCAGGGAGCCTCATATTCAGACATGCTATGTGGATGGGACCTGGTGCTCTCCTGCAGCAGGGTGATGACCTTGAATGGCTTCTGGGATGGCCCTCGCCAGGGCTGTAGGAGCCCTTCCTACAAGCCCTTCCAGGCCAAAGCTGGCAGCCCCAGCCCTCTCCCCTGCCCCGTTTCTTTGCTACTCTTCACTAACCCAGAGGTCCTTTCCTCCCCGACACCATTGAAAGAAGCCTCAGCACGAGTGTCTTTGGGGTCTCTATCTGGCTTGACGTAGGGCAGGTGTATGGTTGGATGGGCAAGTATGCACTGCTAAGAGGCAGTTTTTCCACAGCAATAGAAACAACAAATTAGGCCAGATGACACAGACGTCTGGACAGTGGTTAAAGCTAGGTCCCAGACAGGGACCCGAGGGCTTTGAAACCCAGGGAGAGTTTTAAAATCAGATACTGTCACCTCAACAAGGTTGGTAAAGTCATCCCCTCTGTTGCTGTTGGAAGGATTCAATACATGTGTTAACATCCCTACTAAATGCTCAGCAAAACGGGGCTACCACCAGAGGGTCTGCCAATGGCTGCAGCTCCAGATGTCACCAGAGGCTCTCTGAGGTGAGACAGCCCCGCCCACACAGAGCCCAATGGGCTGTGCACTGGAGGCTCTACAGGGGAGCCAGTACTGCCAGCTGGTGCCTCCCTGTCACCCTGACAAAGCCTAGGGCTGTGGGCAAGGACACCTGCCATGCTCCCTGGCAGTGTGCATGCTGCCTCAGATCCCAGGCAGGATCTGTTGCAAGTGGGAAATGCTTTGTTCTACCTAATGCCCCCCATGGAGATTCTCTAGAGGAGGTTAATGCTGTGCAGAAAACCACTTGAGCATGAAGGGAAGAGGCCATTCCCAAAGGCAAGCCAGGGTTGGTTGAGCAATCTGGGCTGGCTTCAAACAGGCTCACCACACAGGCCTCTGCAGGCCTGGGGCCAAAGTCACCACCGGGAATAGGTCACATCACACAATGGTCAGGGAGCCACAGTGTGGCCAGCACTTACCTTGCTAAGGTACTCCCTCATCACCTGGATGAAGTAGGGCATGGCAAAGTCCACAAGATTGTGTCTCCAGGCCAGTTCGAGCACCACATCGGGGTGAAGTAGGTCGTAGCAGGTGAAGAGAGAGGCCGCAAAGCACTCCTGCTTGCCTTCCTCCACAAACCACTGCAGCAACTTCTCGGCCAGCTCGGCATCCCGCGACTCTGCAGCGTGTTGCATGGCGTCCTGCAGCCAAGGCAAGTGCACAGCTCAGGCCCTGCAGGCTGCTGAGCCAGCAGGGTGGGGAGTAATGCCAACTCCATGATGGCCCTCCCCTCGCTGCAGAGTGAGTCTGGACACACGGCTGAGCCATTCCCTGGGCCTTGCTGCCCTTGGTCAGATGGAGGCACCACTTCTAGGGGCCTTGGGGGGAATGAGCTTGACCCTATCAGATCTAGTTGAACTGCCTAGACATGGCACACACAGGTGCAGGAGCCATGGAAGATGGGCCCCAGGCTCAGGGCATGACCCACATGCAGAGGGAGTACATGGGCTGCTCTGGGTGGGCACTCAAGGGGGAGGTACTGCAGTGTCATCATGCTCAGGCCAACAGCTGGCACTTCCTTCCAGAGTCCCACTCATCATGGAGCAGCTATGAGGGGCTCAGCTAGTGCTCAAGAAATAATATGTTTTTTCTTCAAGTCCCTCAAAACCCATACTTGCCATTTTCATACTCGTAAATTTATCTAAAACGACAACATTTATAAAATGAATGGACTGGCCAGGTAGCTCAGTTGGTTAGAGCACAGTGTTGGTAACACCTAGGTCAAGGGAAAAAAAAAACAAAAAACTAAAATGACACTGCATGGTGACTGGTCGTTAGGAAACTCACACTTTCTAGCGCCACCCTCTATTTCCTAGCCACGTACCAACAGCTGGACACCTTGACTCCAGCCCAGCCCTTCGCAGCAGGGGTTACCATCTTTGACCAGAGATGAAGTCCCTTGCCCAAAGTCACTCAAACCCAATCTGGTTTCCCACTGACCAGGACCTGTGCTCTCCAAGGACAACCCATGGAGAGTGCCAGAACAGAGGTGCTGTAGGCCACCATCACTGTCTCTGCTCCACGTGCCCACTGTCACCTCCAGCACAAGCCTGGAGACTACTGAGTGCACTCAGGTTCCAGACGCATGTGGACCCAGTGCCCACGGAGCCAGCTCCACATGCCCCTGTTGACTTTCCTCCTGAAGGAATTCTCTCCCACCTGCTAGCTGCTCAGTTCGCTGAGTCCTGCTTCGTCCCCAACACTGTTCCTACCAAAGCACCAGGACTCTTTTTTTTTTTTTTTGGTCAGATGAGACTCAAGTGAAAGCTCTAGGCTGCTGACTCTGTCCTCCCTTCTCCATGGGCCTTGGGGACTATCTCCCAACTCACCTGCCATCACCCGAAAGCAGACATTTCCAGAACTCTTGTGCTCCAGACTATGAGTTCAGGGCCCAGTGGCAGATCCCTAGAGAACTCTCAGGTAGAATGAGCCCAAGGGAAGCTCTCAGTCAGCCCTACCCTTGTAGCCTGGAACTCCCTTGGGTCTGAGACCCCCCCCATTTTCTCTTCCCCTCACCACCCCCAGCCTGCGCCACTCTCAGGGGTGCTCTCTACCACTCACAGGGTCCCCGTGTCCCTCTTCTCCCAGCCCACGCCTGCTCTGTCACTTCCATAGGCTCCGGTTCTTCACTTGTGGCGTGGAGGGGCCCGTGTTCCCCCTGCTGCTCATCCTGCCTGTCTCATGTCTCACAATGGCCAAGCAGACCGCTGCCCAGTCCTCATGGCTGCCACTGTCCACAATGCTTTTATCTACATTGCTTCTGTCATCTGGAAATACTTTCTCCTGTTGCTCTCTGACTGGGCACGCACACTGTGTCCTGGCCACGTTCTTCCAGGAGGCCTCCCAGCTTCAGCTCTGGCTCCAGGACAGGCCTCTCTAGCACAGGTGGCAGTGCTGACATTTGTGGGGGCCACCTGGGCATCGGGGACTCCTGAGCACCATCCCTGGCCTCTTCCTCTACGCACCACACCCCCAACTGGGGAAGCTTACTCAGCCACTTCTACCTGTGCCTTATCCTCTGTTCTCTCTTCTTGGCCACATGACTCTGAGTGGGGTCGCTGGCTGGAAGACACCAGCTGGCCCTTAAGCAGCACTTACATCACCGCTCAATCATGATGGCCTGAGTGGCTGTGACTGGTCAGGCAGGGGACAGCCTCCCTTTTGGTGTGTCTGAGTCCCACTGCCACCTCCTAGCAGCCAGCTCATGGGCACTATGTGCAATCTCTGAGCTTCAACAGCACTTCCTCTCACTTCCCTCTGCAAGGCCCCTGTTGACACCCCAGAAAGAACAAGGAGCACTGTCACTAAAGGCTAGGAGATGTCATGGGACGGTCCAAAACACTGACAGTGACAACTTGGGGTGAAGCTCTATTTGACCATGACATCATGAGTCACAGGCTTCAATGGAGTCTAAGCCAAAAACTACAGCCCAGGTGCCATGAGAGCGAGGCCCCTGTGCTAGGTGGGTGGCAGAAGCTGTCCGTGTGTCCTGGGCAGATACTCAGGAATGCTCAAGGACAGTAGAAACACCCTCAGATCAAGCTTACAACCTGCTTGGGGGACTTACAGGGTCTCCTGGCACATGGACTCCTTAGGAATTAGCTTGGCCACATACATATTATGGCACGGCCCTCTTGGGCAACTCCACTTTACCCCAGTGGGGAGATGCTAAGGCCAAGCAGAGGATGGCGATCCCTCCAGGCAGCCCGACCTGACTGGCAGATACCTGGATCGGGGTCTGAGAGCCATGCTAAGCCACCTCTCACTAGCAGAAACAAATATTCTGGACATGACTTTAATTTAGGTTTTTTAATCTTGGATAGGAAGTGAAGCAGGTGCCAAGAAGTGAACCCTGCCACACTATGTTTATGTAGAGCGAAACTCACATGTACCTGCTGGGAAAATAATCAACTCTGGAACACCCTGTAAGAGACTTTCAATACAAATAATTTTTAAGAGGCTCTAGATCACTCCCAACTCTCATCCCATGTTCTAAAAATGGTCCCCCCTTAACATCAGTCCCCCACTCCCAAGAGGATCTCCTGGTGAAGCTCACAGCCAGTCTCAGGAAGAAGAGGGAAAAGGTGTGAACCCCATCCCCTGCCCCCCAAAGCATCAGGAAGTACACCAAAGTTGCAGGGTAGGAGAAAATGGGGGCACAGGGCCACTGACCTTATAAAGACGGTCCTTCTTGCACAACTCCACGCTCTGGGTCCACCGGTTATTGCCCTTGTACAGATAAGCCGCAATGCGCCGGAATTCGATCAGTGGGTGCTTCTCCAGCCGCTGAGCCAGGCTGATGTTGTCAAAGTTGTCATAGGCATCAATAGATGCCCTCAAGCCCTAGGAAGATAGCCTTTCTGTGAGGGAGGAGACACCATGACATGTGTTGGCCATGTGCAGGCACCCAGAATTACTTGGTGGTGGTTGCTACCACCACAGTCTCAGAAATGCCCCTGCCCGTGTATCCTCTGGGGCCCCGTGGGACCTGCACACCCTCCTGTGCAAGGGCAGCCTGCTGCAAGGACAGACTGTCCCATGGTGGGGAAGAGCCCACCCTGGCCGCCTTGAGAGGCTCCCTCTTCCAAACTCACCTGATAATCCTCCTCTTCTGTCAACAGGTGATTGAGTGCCTCATTCACACTCTTGTTGTTGTGGCTCTGGACTGACTGCAGGTAAGGCTTCACAAGGGGCAGCTGGCCTACCTGATGAGATAGGGGAAACGGTCAAGGCACTCGGCAAAGCTGGTCACAAGGAGTCTGGGCAGGGGCACCATGTGACACAGATGAAAGGTATGGGTGGGCATGGGTGCTGTTCTCTAGATGGGCCAGTTCCAGGGCACCTTCTGGGCACCTAGAAACAAGAGACCTTCATGCACTCCCACAAGGAGGGCTGTCTGAGCCATTCAGTTGATGCCAATTTCACCTGTGGACGTTCTGGCCTGAACACAAACTTCTATCTGAAACCTACAGCAATTGGATGAATTAAATCTTGAAAATGCCCAGGGATCGGGCCGGCCCGGTGGCGCACTGCTACAGTGCGCCGCTTGGGAAGTGCGGCGGCGCTCCCGCCGAGGGTTCGGATCCCACGTGCAGACCGGCTGCTCACTGGCTGAGCGAGGAGCGGGGGCAACACCGAGGGTTGCGATCCCGTTGCGGATTGCCACATCATATGGAAATTGTATGTTTAACTTTTTGAAGAAATGCTATTTTACATTCCCACCAGCAATGCACAAGGGTGCCAGTTTCTCCACATCTTTTCCTGTACTCATTGGCAGTTTGTCTATTTGGAGAAATGTATTCATTGCCTGTTTCTGAGAGTGGGGTTGCTAGAATGTAGGGTACCTTCAAATTTAATAAATATTGCTGGATTTTTCTACAAAATAGTTTATCAAAGTATGCTTCCCTTCAGAATGTATAGAAGTTCTGATGTTCTAAATCTGAGTAATGTTTGGTGTTGCCAGACTTTACATTTTTGTTTGATTGATTTGATTGATGTGAAATAGTACCTTATGATTTTAATTTGCATATCTTTAATTACTACTGAGGTTGACCCATTTTTTCTCCCTTCCTATAAACAGAAGTTTATCTTTTCATGTTGTAGGGGCCAAGGGAGACTTCCCCTTCAACCTCCTGAAGGTTCGCTAAAAAAGGATCAATTTCCAAATTGTAAAGGTGCTACCATTCAGATGACTTTGGCAGAGCTGGCCCAACACACTCTTCTCTGACATGGGGTCTCAGCTGACTCACCTTTGAAAAGAAACAGACTGTCCGGGTGTGATCCAGCCGGGGAGACAGCACCAGCAGCAAGTCATTGATGAGCAGAGGCTTGTAATCCAAATAGAACTTTAGGGCTTTGTAACAGAGCTCAACGTTGGCAACCTGGGCAGCAGGGGGGATGGTGGGGAAGCTGGGGTTGGTCCTTGAGGCCTATCGTAGCCAGCCCCAGGAGACTGACTGGTCCCTGCCCACCTTGCAGTACTTTTGTCTGACATACTGCACATCTCTCTTGAGAGCCAGGGCTTTGTTTCCTGCCTCACCCTAGCAATTACACCATGTATCTGACACAGGGTCAATGCTCACCCAATATCCGCTGAGTGAAGGAATGGGGTGTAATAAGCTGGATAAATACAATCACCAAAATCAAACATCAAAACATGTTTCTAGGGCTGGCCCGTGGCTCACTTGGGAGAAAGTGGTGCTGATAACACCAAGGCCACAGGGTCGGATCCCCATATAGGGATGGCCGGTTAGCTCACTTGGAGAGCACGGTGCTGACGACACCAAGTCAAGGATTAAGATCCCCGTACTGGTCATCTTTAAAAAAACAAACAAACAAACAAACAAAACCATGTTTCTATCCAAGCAAGATTTCTTCAGGCCCCTGGGAAGGTCAACCTGAGCCATAAGCAAGTTAGTAGCACATCCCATTACATCCCCAGTGTGAACCTCAGCAGCCAGCCCAGGCCAAGCAGGCTCTGATGGCAGATGAGAAGGCCTGTCCTCAGGCTGCTGTGTCCTCTGGCACTTTCCCACTGGTCTGTTGCCATTCTCTTCCTGGGTGATATCATTCGGTGGCCTGCTGACTGTAGCACTGATGTCCAAGGAGCAAGGTGGTCCCTGCCTTCCAGAAGGGCATGAACCACAGGGTGACCAGGGTGTGCTCTGAGCTCAGAACTCTCTGGCTCCTAATGATGGCCTCATGCTACCTTTGAAAAGCACCTACTGTATGCGAGGCACCTGCCATCAACCACTTGGCGAGGAGGAAACATGTCTGTTTCTTCAACAGGATAACTGAGGTTCACAGTGATAACACCCCAGTCCACAGTGACAGAGACAGCAAATGATTGAGCCAGGATGCCAAGCCCAGTCTGTGTCAGCAAGGCCCCTGCTTGGCCTGCCACTGCCCAGCTTGGGGGCCAAGTGGATTCCAAAGCACCTCCTTTTGTGTGCCTAGAACACAGACTCAATGTCGCCTTGTTGCCTGGGCCACCATACCAGCTAGTATCCTCCTGCTGAGACTGGGGATGGTGTCTCTCCCTTGCCCCTCCACAGCAGAGTGTGGCAGAAGCACCATGCATCACATGAAGAAGAGGACTTGGCTGTCAGCGTGCAGGCGGCAGACAGAGATGCTGCTCTCCCAGGACAAGTCTCAGCTGTCCTGCTCTGTCATATTATGTACCACTAAGAAATAAAAGGCTCTGCTATTTCAACCATGGCATGTCAATTTTAAGGTACACTCTGGTATCAGAGAATTTAAAATGTGAAGAAAGTATACATGGCACTGATCAAGTATGGATTTTCCAACATGTGGACCTATCTACCTGGAACTAGCCAGGTGTGCTGGGCCAGGGTAAAGTGTGATCTGCCCATGCTCCCACCAGCAGCCGAGCAGCCTACAGAACCCACTCAGGGTGAGACCCCCATTAGGGGCTACTGAATTTACACGCCACCACACTGAATAACATGGATGACCTTCACCAGGAGGCTCATTATGTGTGGCTGCATGTGTGACCTTGAGGATGACTGTTTCCAAGAAGGGGAGAGGCTGAAGACCTCGCTTGGCAGCCCACCCATCATCCACGCCCACCTCAATGGCTACATGTGGAAAAGAAGGTGCAAGAGAGAGACAATACCTCCCTGCTGCGAGGGGATGCTGTGCCAGCCCCGGCTCTTGACTCGAGAGTGGCAGGACTGAAACGCAGCTAGGATGCTAGCTTTCACTGGCAGAGAGCAGAGGGGAGAGACATACCCAAGGACACAGGGACAAAATGAGGACACTCAATGTAAAAGGACTGGGAGTAATGACAGAGCACTTCATCCCTTTCACCTTTTAACTCGCATGCAGAGCTGAACAGAGGAGGAGGTTGGATCCACACAAAGACCAGAAATGCAAAATGACAAAGCCTGGCTTGGTGTCCACACTCACACTGACACCACCCACAGCTAGGCTGCTGGTAGAGTGGGGGGTACTGGTTTAGTCCAACGAGTCTGCAGAAGGAACAGCTGCTCCCAGGTCAGGTGAAGACCTGAGGCTGGGCAGCCCTGGCCTCACCCCTCTACTACGGGATTTACAGTGCCTCTATCAGGTGCCTGCACTCCTCTAGGGCTGGCAGTTTTGCAGGGGAGAGACATGAAGAAAAAAAATTCCAGAAGGTGAAAAAACATGAAAAAAAAATACAACAGGAAATGGGGACAGAGTGTGGGGCTGGGAGCCCTGAGCCTACAGGGTAGAAGAAAGAGCAAAGGGAAGTCTGGTCATGAGAGGGCATGGCGTGGTGGCAGGGGCCTGACCCTGCTCACAGCCCTGCTGTGTGGCCCTACACCAGTCACCTCCTCTTCCTAAATGTCAGTTCCCTCTGTGTAGAGAGCATCACTCCCACCTGCCTGAAGGGTGGCAACTCACATGAGACATGCATGGGGGGCACACGCTGGCACTCACTGCACCCTCACCCGCTTTGCTGTGTCCCTGCTCCCAGAATAGGGCCTGGTAGAGGCAGGAGCGGTGCTCTGTGTCCCTCTTACCTTGGTGATGATGTCCTTGAACTGACCTTCTCTCCATGCCTCAGTAGGGTGACTCATCATGGTTAGGACAGCATTGTCATACTCCTCGTACTTCTCATAGAGGAACACCAGCTCCACCCAGAGATGTGCCTGCTCCGCAGCTCTGAGCACCTGAACGGGGAGGGCACAGGCTGGGGGTAGATTTGTACCATGTGTGGATGTGGCAGCCAGGACCTGGAGGAGGGTATGGGTACCTTCGGGATGTTGACACGGGACCAAAAGAGCTCCAGGTGCTCCGGCATCCTCTGTGGCTTGAACTTGGAGTAGAGGATGGCCAACTCTGTGAACATGCCCATGTGGGCTCGCTCCAGGCCCAGGGCCGCCTCCAGAAGGGAGATCAGTTCCTCAAAGTAGCCCCGATCCTGCCAAAACAATAGCCACACGTGGGGCAGAAGAACTGCATGCTCTCCCGCAGCCTGCCTCCAGCCAGAGCCCCTGCCAGAAGGACTCTGCAGCAATTCGATTGATGTTGAGGAGGTAAGTGTGAAAACGATGCATGCATGTACTGTGTTACAAACTACACCACTGTAGTGAGCAACGTGTTGGATCATTTGACAACTGCCACTCTTTGGGAAGTGGCCCATCTCACTGAAATTCTCAAGTTTAGTAAGTACAAATTAGTACTTCCATTTTTATGAAAAGAAATGTGAAAAAAATTAAACAGGAACTGGGGGTAATAAGGTGTGAGGATCATTAATTTTAATCTCTGCCTCCACAGCTCACTCCTGGGAGCTTGACTCTAATAAGCCTTCAAATGCACTCAGGATGCCATCCCACTATCCCCATGAGGCCCAGCCCTTTGCATTCAGCCCACCGGGTCCTGCTCAGCATGCTGGAACCCTGGAGAAACACCCATCCACGTGAACACTCTCCCTTCATATTAATGACCACAGCCCTGGAGAGGGCTCATCCTAGAGGACTACCTCATACCTCTCCTCCCCCAAAGAAGGACGCCTCCATCCCCCTCACTCTCAGGCTAGCCTTGCCTCCTGGTCCCATGCCTGCCTGCCTGCAGCATCTGCACACACAGTCTACAAACTGTTGGAACCCACTCAACCTGTACCTCCTGCTCACATACCGAGGCCACTGCTGCAGTGACTCCTTTCTTTTCTGCAAAACTTTCCTCTCCACAGCTGGCCTTCAGCAAACCATCTAATTCCCCTGTCCTAAAACATCCTCTCTTGACCCTATGTCCCCTGCCAGCTACCATTCGTTTTTGTACTCCCCTTTGCAGCAAAAACTCCTCAAAAGAATTGTTTACTTTCCTCTCCTCATTCTCTCTGGCCCACCCTATGTCCCCTGCCAGCTACCATTCGTTTTTGTACTCCCCTCTGCAGCAAAAACTCCTCAAAAGAATTGTTTACTTTCCTCTCCTCATTCTCTCTGGCCCACCCAGTCAGGCTATCTCATCCCCATGACTCAAGGCTACCAGCGACCTCCTCTCTCAGCTCTCCCTTCCTGTCATCTGCCCCGCAGCAGGACCCAACACTCTTGCTGTCTGCTCCCTCCTCCTGGCACAGCTGGGAGACATCGTGCTCTCTGGTTTTTCTTCCCACTTCACCGGTTGATTTTTCTCTCCTCCTTACCACACTTGTGTTGGCAGCTCCAGGGCCCAGAGTCTGGTCTCTTCTCTACTGACGTTCACCTCCAGGGGATCTCATTCAATCCCATGTTTTTATATACCATCTTTATGTCAACAACTCCCATTGTGTTTCTTCAGCTGGGTTCCTTTGTGGAACACTAGACCCTATTTCCAACAGCCCACATGATACTTCCACTTGAATATCCAATCGGCAGCTCAAACTCAGTGTATCCAAAACGTCATTCCTGTCCTTCCCTTCCACGCAGTCCCCACCTTCAGTCTTCCCCACGCCCACTAATGATACTTGGCTTGATTCTTGTTCAAGCCAAAAATAAATGAAGTCATCCTTGACTCTTTCTCTCACCCCACATCCAGCCCATTAGCATATCAAGTTTGTTGCACATCCAAAACACATACCCCAAACCCAATCACCTGATCCTGTCTCACCCATCTTGCCACCATCCTGGTCACAGCTACCATCCCTGCTCACCTAGATGACTGCAACAGACTCCAGATGCTCTCCCAGCTCCTGCCCTGCCCCTCCACCTGCCCACAATGCCCCAAACTGTCTGTCATCAGCATATGAGCCAGAAGGGTCCCCTTTCCCTCCACAGCCCTGCACTCCACTCCACGTACAACCCAAGTCCTTCCTAATGGCTTGTGACCTGGCCCTCCTTTACTCTCCCCACTATTCTCTGGCTCCAGCCTCATGGGCCCCTTCCTTGAATATGGGCATGATCCTCCCTCAGGACTTGGCCCTGGATGTTGACCCTTCCCTCAAATGTCTCCATGGCCAAATTCCTCAATCTCTTCAGGTCTTTGCTGAAATGTTACCCTCTAGATGAATGCTACCTTGCCAGCCCCTTTAGAAACTCTACCCAGGCACTCCCATCCCCCCAAGCCTGCTTCCTTTCCCCCTATAATTCCTCACCTTCGAACACACTATCTAACTATTTGTTAGGTTTGTTGCTTGTTAGTCAACCTCACTGAATGCAAATTCAACTGAACAGAGGTTTGTCTGTTTTGTTCATTGATACAATTATCTAGAATATGTCTAGTACACAGTAGGTGCTCACGTATTTCCTGAATAAATGAATCATCCCATTTGCCAGCCTCTAGGCCTCTTCATTACTCTTCCTGCTTGCTTCATAGTTCACTTCCCAGGCTTCAGTTGAGCAGGAAAGCATTTCTCACTGAAGGGTCATCAAGCTTGGCTGGATACTGTATTCTGGACACTGCTGGTCCCCCAAGCTGGCCAGAGCCCCTCCAGACTACTTCTCACTCAGTGAGGTGGGGCTGGGGCTCGAGTTCCATGGGAACAGTAACATTGCTGAGCCAAATCTTTAATCTGCCTTGACTAACCACATGTGGTGTGACATACAGCTCCAGGACTCCCGGGTGGAGGCCCAGGTCCCTAAACATGCAGATGACTGTCTACCAACCACTTAACAGCCAAGCCAAACTACGACGTGAACACACAGTGCCCCACCCTTTTAAAGAGTTTCCTCTCTTACACATACTCTGTCCCTAAGGCATTTGATAAACATACCCCCTGTGGGTCACACACTGTGGGGAACTAGGGTGTGGACCACAGCCCAGAATTCTCAGCAAGTTATACAAGAGTTTTCCTGTTTTGCAAGCCATTAACTGGGCTTCTGAAGGCCCAATGACACAAGAGAAGGGAGAGAACTTCTAAAATCACAAAATATCAGCCGGCCATGAGGTCCAGGATAGCTAAGAAACCAATTTGAATTTAATTTACAAACTGTCTAGCACATGAAAGAATTCCCCACAGAGACAATGTTTTGTACATGCTCGTCTGTACATGTGACACTGTGATCATCACATACTATTTGCAGAGATCGTCTCTGGCCAGAGATGAGTACCTGGTAATATCGTATTAGCTCCTCCAGCTCATCAGCATGAATGACGATGTGAAGACCACACAGCTGTGCAAGGCGGAACTCCTGCCCGTCCACACAGGCAAAGCACACCTAGGGGAAGGAGGATTAGAGTGAGTGTCCCCAAGATGGACATGGCACCACAGCAGCTGGCTTGCAAGGATGCAGCTGAAAATGCAGAAATACCAGCAAACAGGCTTTTAAAGTTGGATTCTGAACAAGTCGATAACTGTAAGATAAACTGCATGAAACTGGGAGAAAAAATAATGACATTTATAATCTGCAGGCCAACGGGGTGTTTGAGACAAAGGAGAGAAACGTGCTCATGTGTTATGTCTTAAGTCCTGAGATGCAGAGGTTTTTTTTTGTTTGTTTGTTTTTTGTCTTTTTTTGTGTGTGTCCGGCAACGGATCGCAACCCTCAGTGTCGCACCCGTACCGGACCAGGACCGGCAACGGGATCGCAAACCTCAGTGCTGCGCCCGCACCTTGCTCAGCCAGTGAGCGGGAACCGGTCTGTATGTGGGATCCGAACCCTCGGCGGGAGCGCCACTGCACTCCCAAGCGGCGCACTGTAGCAGTGCGCCACCGGGCCGGCCCCGATGCAGAGGTTTGTTTAGGTGACAGAAGGCATGCTGCATTCAGCTTTGGAGTTTGAAAAGGGTTTAACAAAGCTCAAGAATACTTGTCATGAGAAGGTATTTTATCTGAGTGCTATTTACCCAGGAGGAGCTTGCTTTTTTTTTTTAAAAGATGACCGGTAAGGGGATCTTAACCCTTGACTTGGTGTTGTCAGCACCATGCTCACCCAGTGAGCTAACCGGCCATCCCTATATGGGATCCGAACCTGTGGCCTTGGTGTTATCAGCACTGCACTCTCCCGAGTGAGCCACAGGCCGGCCCAGGAGGAGCTTGCTTTAATGATTATTTCTTAAACTGTACTTTTGTTTCATATATTGTACTGTATGTGTACTTAATGAAAAGAAGTGTTAAGAAGTGAAGAACTCCCCTGTGCAGAAGGGTCCTCTCTGCACCACAAAGCAAGCTGGGTTTGTTTGTAGTTTCCCTATTTCCCCATGTTCTATATACAGCACATGTTCTCAGGGTATATAAAACAGAAAATGCAGACAAACAGAAATAATCACATAACCCAGTAGTAATTAACTTAAGACATAATCTTTGGTCCACTATTTTCTGTGTGTACACAAGTACCCTACCAAATCTCTTACACACACAACGGAATTACATTATGTATTCTGCTGTCAACATATTTCTCTCATAATATTGAAAACACCTTTTCTTGTTCATTTTTTTTGGTGGCTGGCTGGTACGAGGATCCAAACCCTTGACCTTGGTGTTACCAGCACCATGCTCTAACCAACTGAGCTAATCCGCCCTGCCTGTTCATTTTGAACAGCAGGGTAGAGTTGCAATGCATATGATATTTGAACAGCAGGGTAGAGCTGCAAGGCCATAGCATTTATATTAGACATTTAGACTGATTTTAATCTTTCATTAAACAATGCTTCGGAAATTCATTGAAGCTAAACTGAAGCTAAATAAATTGAAGCTAAAAGCTAAGCTTCTGCACATCTCTTTACAAATTTTTTTCCAGTTAAAGATGATTATGTCCAGTCCTACCAATTTGGCACAAAGGACAAATAATGTCAATTTACACTGACTATGCTACTAATAAGATGATATGATTTTATAAAGTGTTATGATAGTTCAACATATTGTGATTGTTGTTTGACTCATTCATTCATTCATTTTTTAGCTCCCATTTATAAGTGAGGATATTTATGTATTTGCTTCTACTTATGAGTAAGGACATGTGGTATTTCTCTTTCTGTGCTTGGCTTGTTTCACTTAACATAATTTTCACCAAGCTGCTGCAAATGGCAGAACTTCCTTCTTTTTTCTTGCTGAGTACTCAGTCTCGAACTACATCATCAGTTCTCCTTAGTCTCCAGTTTGCTGACTGTAGGTCTTGGGACTTCTCCACCTCCATAATTACATAAGCCAATTCCTTTAATAAATTTCTTTTGATACATATCCTTTTGGTTCTGTTTATGGCTATAAAGCTAAATCTCACACAACAGGCCCATTTTCCCACTGATACCCAACATCGAACTGTTCTAATAGAGTGTAGAGAATTTCCATTCACTGGTTTGATAAAATAATTTAACAATTTCAGGCTTGATAAAGCAAAAAAACTGAATTGAATTGAATGCTATAATTAAAGATCTTCAGGCAAGATTCCTTCCTTGATTTATCAATTTTTGATTTATCAATTTTGAACAATGAAGATTTCATATATCAGGTTGCCATAGGTTACATGATGTTATTATAATTAAAAATTATATAATAATAAAAAAACTTCAGACAAATGAAAAAAAGTTATGATAATACTGATATTATTATAATACTGATAATTCCATGCTATTAAGACAACTTCTGGGAGCTGAATGATCCGACATAGGGTTCTCTGGGGCCTTTGCTTCCAACCACAGTGCTAGCTTCTGAGGTTCTCTGAGCCATCCCAGAGGATTTGGAACCTTGCCTGGACAAGAGGTCATCACTCAGATTCATTGCATTTGAAAGAAGAGTGTGGGGAATAACAAGCAGGAAAGGAGAGAAGACTTGTGAGACCAGAACTATTCTGTAGACTCCCCGTGGCTTACCTCCTTCCAGGTCCGGGTGCTGCTGGCCTTGCGGCTGCTGTCCACTGCTGCCTGATACTCCCCAAGGTGGACCAAAGTAGAAGCCAGGCGGGCGAAGTTAGAGACGTTGCTATACAGCAGCTTGGCAGCCTCGTACTTTCCCTCTTCATAACAGCGGTCTCCAACCTACAGATGATCAGGGAGCTGAGACATTCCCGAATGGGAAGGTTTCTCCAGAGTTGGTTTTAAGCTCCTAGATAGCAGAGGTATTTTTCTGTTTGCTAAAGAGGTAAGCATCTTTCCGATCACATCAGCAGCAACAGGCCACTGCAGAGCACCCACCTGACTGGTCCTGCATGACCCTGCATTCTGGCACCTCTCAGGCCCTGGCTGTCATCTCCCATGCCTGCACCCCATGGGGGCCAGCCTCCTTGCTGCTTGCTTCCAGGCTGTTCCCCTGCATCCCACTAAAAACCGTCAACAGTGAATCCTGTGCCAGGCACTACTCACCAGCCCTAGTTCCTGACGCCATTTACACATCTTGTTCCCTAACATTTTCTTTTGACTTCCTGTGCTCTGATGACCTTGTCTTCCTCACAACAGCAGCCAGTTACTGCCATGGCCATACTTTTAACCTCACCAGAGAGCTGCCACCCCTGGGAACCCCTGTCACAAGGACCTACTCTCTGCCTAGCACCATACTCCTCCCCCCATCCAGCCTCACTGTCTCAACTCCACTAGTCCAGTGACTTGACTGATTTGCTACTGCTACTGCTTACACTCATTACCCTCCTGTCAGCCCACAGTCAAGCAGTATGGCTCTTGGCATTCACCCTCAACTCTCTTGGCTGGTCTCAGTCCTGCTTAGAGGTATTCTCTGCCTGTTCCACACCTGTGACTGCTAAACAGGGCCAAACAGAAGTGGAACTCCAGAGTGCTGACAAGGCTCTCTTTAAGTTCATGGTCACCAACCTCAGATGAGCTCACAATACCACCAATCCTCCTTCCTTAATCCATGTCTTTTCTCCTTGTCAACTATTTTATCTTCTCTCCTCAAACCTCCAACAATTCCTCAAGGTGAGTACTGGCTTCCTATCTCAAGACAACAGAAACCATCAGAAGAGCCCTTCTATGGCTCCAGGACCATGGCTATCTGCTGAGGCCAACTCCACTGGTGCACTTGACCTTCTTCCCCTGCTCTGCATCAGGGTCCCAGCAACCTCCTGCATCAACATCGCCCTCTCTACTGAACCACTCCAACAAGCTCAAGGAACCACTGTAATTTCCCTTAGCTTAAAACAAGTCCTATTCATTCTGCCCTCAACTTACCTGGTGGCTGCCACTCTGTTTCCACCCCTCCCTTTACAGCACATTTCTCAGAAGAGGCATTCCTGTGTCTACAGTAGCTGTCCCCATGTCTTCCTGTTTTCCCTGCAATCCACTCCAATCAGGCTTTTGCCACTGACCCTGCCAGGGTCATCACTCCTCCTGACAGATGCTGACATGGTTTCCTGGACAACCCCTGCCTGCTTCTCTCCACCTCTCTGGTCACTCTCCATTTCCACATCACCCTGCTGCTGGGGCTGTAGGGCGGCCCAATCTCCATCTGTGGCCCATTCCCCCTTGCCCCATATCCCTACTGCACACTCCCCCCAGACTGTGGCTGTGTCACCTGTACACCAAAGGCTGCCACATGTACATGTCTACCCTGGACTTCTCCTCAGAAACCTAACTTCTGCATCAGCTGGACAAGTCCATGTGGCATCTAACAGAGGTCAGACTCCTCCAAAAGTGAGTTCTGATGCCCCCCAGGCAGTCTTCAAACACTGTTCCCACATCTGTAAGCACGAGTCCTATGCCCCCAAACATGGACTACCCACCCTCACTTCTCTTCTCACACCTAACTCATCAGCAAACCCTGTCGGCTCTGTCTTCGAAACACATCCAGAAGCTGATGACACTTCACACTCACCATTCACCTCAACTGCTTTGTCTGCACGGCAGATACACTCCCGCTGGCGCCACTGCCCCAGCCTCCTTCTTGCTCTCGCTGCTCTGCCCTTGTCCTTCCCTCTGTTTTCAACACAGCAGCCAGAGGGATTCTGCTAATGCCTAGATCGGACCATGTCCCTGCTCTGCTCAAAATCTTCCAGTCTCACCCAGAGTAGAAGCCAGAGTCCTGACTATGGCCCACAAGTCCTGACACACCCCACTGCCCATGCCTCTCACGTTTGATGGCTCTGCTCCAGCCACCACGACCATCTCTGCACTGCTACTGCATACACCCTAACACTCTTGGTGATCCCTCCACTCAACCTTCTCTCTGCTCTAAGGTTTCTTCCCCACAGAGATGTAGACTTGGTGCCCACCCTCACACCCATGCCACCCTAATACTCCCCATCCCTGCCCTCCTTTCACTTCTCTCCTTTACACTTACCATTTAACACACCACTATATCTTTATGGATCTTACCGTCCATGGGGACAGAAATTTGACTATTTTCACTGCTGCATCCACAGCCTCCACCCTGGCACACAGCTGATGCTCAATAAAAGTTTGTTGATGAATGAATAAATGAAATATTATATCAAAGACTGTAATCATGTAAGACTACTGTTACTGCCAATTTACAGGAAATGCAGGGGAAAAAGTTATAGGACATTGTGGAGATGCAGTCAGCAGCACCACTCACCAACAGGCGGTGGGCTGGACCTGGCCTCCAGGCTGAAGATGACTGACCCCTGTCTCAGAGGACTGCAGAAGGTGGGAAGCACACTAGGCCTTGGGGCCACCACGAAAACAGGCAAAGCACAGGACAAGCCCTGCTTCCCCCACCCAGCCAGCCCTGAGTGATAGAGCTTCTGTCTTGTCCCCACAGCTCCTTTGACTCAGGAGAATGCTGTTACTAACTCAGAAGGGGATATGGGGCAAGATTTTGTTTTCTAACATTTTCATTAATTTTCTGATTATAAAGGCAATTTTTGAAGTTATAGGTCACTGACTAAAAGACACAGGCAAGTAAACGGAAAATAATATAATACAACCAATTCCAAATCCCAGAATTGTTGACTGTCCCCATCTAGGGCATTTTTCTAGGCATATATGTTTATTATATCATGCATGCAGTTTTTCACTCTTGCTTAAACTAACTGAAAGGTTTTCCATCACCAACCAGGTTCTAACTACTTGTAATGGCTATGTTATATTCCACTGTTATTTAACTATTTCCTTTTGTTGGACACTGGCTTTCAATTTTTATTAGCATAAATCATGCTGCAATGATAAAATATTTATATGTAAAGCTAGGTGGATCTTTTCTACTTTCTTGGGATAGATTTTTACATCTAGACTTACAAGACCCTGACTAGAAATACAAGTATTAAAACTCTCCACATGTATTTAAAATATTTATGCATTAAATGAACTGATATTTTCCTTTGTGTTTTTCTTCCACTGTTTATATGCTTAAAAATGCCTTTCTCATGCAAAGATTCAAATATTTTTAAAAATCTTATTAAGGAGAAAACCTCAATTTTTACCTTTAAATCTTCATCTGGAATTTTATTTTGTTTTGTTGTTTTTTTGTTGGCTAGCCAGTGAGGAGATAAGAACTCTCAACGTTGGTATTATCAGCACCATGCTCTAACCAAGTGAGCTAACTGGCCAGTCTTGGAATTTTATTTTGGTTACAGAATTACATGATGAGCTTTAACTTCTTTCAAAACTTTAACCTAATTTCTAACAAGTTAATTGGAACTTATTTTGAAATAAAAAATTCAAGTCTACTTTTGTGTTATTTATTTCAATGAACTGTGTACATTCTCTCAAGAAGAGTGCACCTGTAACTACTGCAGAGTTAGAATATATTCCACTGTTCCTTCATCTCCCTCTATCACTTTTTCCAGTCCGCACCCGTACCGGATCAGGACTGGCAACGGGATCGCAACCCTCGGTGTTGCGCCCGCACCTGGGTAACATTTTTTTTTTCTTTTTTTTCCTTTTTTTTGTCTTTTTTCGTGTCCGGCAACGGATCGCAACCCTCAGTGTCGCACCCGTACCGGATCAGGACTGGCAACGGGATCGCAACCCTCGGTGTTGCGCCCGCACCTTGCTCAGCCAGTGAGCGGGAACCGGTCTGTATGTGGGATCCGAACCCTTGGTGGGAGCGCCGCCGTGCTCCCAAGCGGCGCACTGTAGCAGTGCGCCACCGGGCCGGCCCCCAGGGGTAACATTTTAACTGCATGTCAGACTTTACAATTATTTAGATCTTCTTTTATTTGATATATATATTTTTTTGTTAAGGTTTATTTAAACATTTTGGTTTTATTCCTATATACAAAGGAATGTTTTTTTCCTATTATATTATCTGATTACTGCTGACATATGGGAAAGCTATTAATTTTCAAAACATATCTTTTATGTACCCAGATTATTAATTCTGAGTTAATCAGTGAACTCTGTCTTCTTGTTGTAAGCAATGAGAACAGCAGCATGTAAGTCCTGACATCTCCTCTTTGAGAATCATTCTGATGTGTACAGTCAAGAGCAAGTCAAATTCCATGGGTCTTAATTTCCATACCAATAACAGCAACAAGTTACTTACTTCCATGTGTGCCTTGTTTCTTTTTTTTTTCTTTTTGTCTTTTTTCGTGACCGGCAACGGATCGCAACCCTCAGTGTCGCGCTCGTACCGGACCGGGACCGGCAACGGGATCGCAACCCTCGGTGTTGCTTCCCGCACCTCGCTCAGCCAGTGAGCGGCTGGTCTGTATATGGGATCCAAACCCTCGGTGGGAGAGCCACCGCGCTTCCCAAGCGGCGTACTGTAGCAGTGCGCCACTGGGCTGGCCCTTGTTTCTCACCATCACAAATGTGCATCCCTCTAGGGAACATCCCTGGCCTAAAGCTGACTGTGATAGTTCACAGGGGGCATGGCCTACCTGCTGGATGTGGGCATTGTTGGGTCCATTAATACAGTCTTCTAGCTCAGACAGACGGCTGGTTTTAGCCAAGGCAAAAATAAATTCAGTCTCTACATAGGACTCACGACCCTTTTTCCTGGCCATCTGCAGGAATTTAACTAAATCCTCCCAGTTGTCTAAAGACAGAAAACAAAGACAGGTTAACCCAGAGCTGATAATTTTGAACAGGGGCTCAATTTCTTCCATTCTGTCCTCAGCCAGACATGTTTACCCTCCCCACTATGCCTCCCTGAGAGCTCAGGCTCTAGGTAATGTCCAGAAGGTCTTGACTAAGCTCACTAAGCAGAGCCCTATCCCAGGAGGGAGAAGGGGAAGGCACAGGGCCACACATGAGCCCCCCCCGGGATGGGAACCTCTATGTCCCCAAGTAAAGACTTCACCAGGGGATGCCAGGATGCTTATTCTAGCCACTGGAAAGGTCAGTGCCATAATCAACTAGAAACACCAAAAGATCCCCAGGAAACTTTTGGTCTAAATCACTGACCTTAACATTATTATAATAGGGATATATATTGTGCTTAAACTGCCTAATCTTATAAAAGAGGGCAATAGTCAACTGAAGACCAGTGTCATTAACAGAAAAATATTTATGTCAGACTCTTTTGGAAAACTTTTACTTAGCTGTGCCCTCTGATACCACTGGATGCATAATACACAGAGATTCTTGGTCCAGGTGTCAGCCAGGTGTTGTGCCAGAAGCAGAGGCCCATGGAAAGGGAATTCACTTACTATTCCTGCTGGCTGCCTGAACAACTTCTAGGTAAGAGGAAGGGTCGTCCGCTCTGATATAGGAGTCAATGGCTTCCTTCACCAAGTCTTTCTGGAGTTGGGCTCGGGCCAGCTGACTCCACACAGCAGGTTCATTGCATCTCTCTGCAAATTCATATGCTCGGTCTAGGTTTCCAATGTGCTCGATCAGGACCTAGGGGTTATAAGAGGACTTGCACTCCCCACATTACCTAACCAGCTCCAAGGAGCAGACAAATTTTGTTTGGTTCCCTATTCTGTCTAAAGTTGCATGACCATTTCAATTCAGCCCAAAGCAGTTAGGTACTAAGTATTTCTCAGATGAATGAATTCAAGGAAGAGACCCAGCTGTTTTATGGGGAAGGGATGCCATACAGAGAAGAGACACTTTAATAAAGAGGAATAAAGAAATGAAGATAGCCAGATTAAGCTTTCTGGGCTGGGAGTAGGACACAGGACATGCCTCTTGATCTTGGCAGGAGAGACAGTACAATAGAGCATATGGGCTTCAGTAAAGGCCACCACCATGTGACAGTGGAAGTGGTGGCGGCAACAACTGCCCCTGATATGACAGGGTGGTCTGTCTCAGGGCAAGGCCATAGCCCAAGTATAAGCACAAAACAAGGGCTTCTAGATCAGCAGCTTCACAGGCAGGTAAAGAAAAACAGTAAAGAAGAGGCAAGGAAGTAAGAAATATTGGTAGGATAGTAGTTAAAGTGATATGTTCTGTGGTTTACAAATGACTTGGAAATAAAACCAGAAAAGGCTCATAGACTGGAAAGAAAAGAATGTGTTTTGAGGGAAAAGAGTTCTAGGGAGGTAGAAGGGGAGTCAGGGGGGGCTGGAAGGATTGCTATGGGAGCTCAATCTCAGATACTGAACAGATCCTGCAAACGAGGCATGGGAGCGATAGGGCAGGGGGATGGGGAGTTGAAATAGCATGGTGGTGAAGGGCTGCAACAATTACTACATGGGGGTAAGGTGTGAGCCCCTCTGAAAATCAAACACCTAAGTCGCCAGGGCTGACTGCATGACCTTGTGTTAGGTACCCAAGTCCAGGAGAGTGCTAGGAAGCAACTGAGAAAAGGCGGGCTAACAGGCAGGTGGTAAGAGCCCCAGCAGAGAAAAGCATGAGAATTTGAAAGACACACTGGACAATCAGAGGTTCTGACACCCTCAGTGATGACAAAGACTCAAGGGGGCGCTCACGGTGTGGCAGAGGGTGCTAGGGTCCAACATGACTGCACGCAGCAGCCCACCTGGATTGCTGAGGCATTCACATCAAACTTGCAGAAGATGACAAAGGCCTCCTCATACAGTGCACTGCTAATAGCAATGCTCGCGATGTCTGGGGCATCGTAGTTGTCCAGGCGGCTGATGTATTCCATGACCCGCGTGCGGTCTGCCTTGATGGCTGTCAGAATCAGCAGATTCTGGAGATTCCTGGGAAGAGGGGGTGGTCAGCTAGTACCGGAGGGATGAAAGCTGCACACAGCATTCTCTGGCAGGTTGGGCAGCCTAAGACCCCTAATTTTTAAAAAGGTAATGTACACATACATGACTGATAAGTAGATACAACAGACTATTTGTGAATTATATGGGGTCTAAAGAGAACAACATAGTAAAGTTTTGGGAAAGTACTGCTAAAAGAACCAGAACACTGTCAATCTCAGGAGCCCAGCCTCCGGCTCCCACTTCAGAGATGACTATTATCCTAAATGTGCCTCTATCAATCCTTTGTGATTCTTTATAGTTTTATCACTTACACTGTATCCCTAAGCAATACAGGTAGATTTGCACATTTTTAAACTTTCGTTTTCTTTAATCATACTGGACGCATTCTTGCAAAACTTTTCTTTTCTTTTTTTTTTTTTTCCTTTTTTTTGTCTTTTTTACTGACCGGCAACGGGATCGCAACCCTCGGTGTTGCGCCCGCACCGCGCTCAACCAGTGAGCGGGAACCGGTCTCCACATGGGATCCGAACCCTTGGCGGGAGCGCCGCCGCACTCCCAGGCGGCGCACTCTCCAGTGTGCCACCGGGCCGGCCCCAAAACTTTTCTTTTACCCTATTAAAAAATGTGGGGGGAAAAAATCTATGCAACATACCATATATCAAGAATCTAAAAAGAAATACCATATAATCAGTATCAATTGATTCAGAAAAAGCATCTTAAAAAAATCCAACACCTGTTAATATTAAAAACTCTCAACTAGAAACAGAAGGAAACTTCCTCAATTTGATGAAGGACATCTACAAAAAGCCCACAGCTAACAATGTAAGTAGCAGTGAGAGGCTGGATACTTTCCCCTATGCTTTACCCTAGGATTAGGAATGAGACAAGGATGTCCACTCTCACCACTTCTAGTCAACACTGTACTGGAGGTTCTAGTCAAGGCTTTTAGGCAAAAAAAAAAAAAAAAAAGAAAAAGAAAAAGAAAAAGAAAAGAAAAGAAAAGAAAAGAAAAGAAAAGAAAAGAAAAGAAAAGAAAAGAAAAGAAAAGAAAAGAAAAGAAAAGAAAAGAAAAGAAAAGAAAAGAAAAGAAAAGAAAAGAAAAGAAAAGAAAAGAAAAGAAAAGAAAAGAAAAGAAAAGAAAAGAAAAGAAAAGAAAAGAAAAGAAAAGAAAAGAAAAGAAAAGAAAAGAAAAGAAAAGAAAAGAAAAGAAAAGAAAAGAAAAGAAAAGAAAAGAAAAGAAAAGAAAAGAAAAGAAAAGAAAAGAAAAGAAAAGAAAAGAAAAGAAAAGAAAAGAAAAGAAAAGAAAAGAAAAGAAAAGAAAAGAAAAGAAAAGAAAAGAAAAGAAAAGAAAAGAAAAGAAAAGAAAAGAAA